CGGGGGGACGCAAAGCCAAGCTTCTTTCTGGAGCCGCAGGTGAAGCTCCTTGAGGGGCACGATCCGTGTGACAAGATAAGTCCTCCGATACAGAACGCTTTACATTGCGACTAGAGCGCGCTAGAATCTAAGCGCGCGAGAAGAGTGCGCGCGTGTTCCTGGTGTGTACAGATGCACATGCACAGATATACGCACAAGAAGATCCAGGTGTTCAAGTGTTTGAGCATTCAGACTGGTGTCCCGATGTTTGCCCACTCGTGAGTCGAACTGTGCTGCCGATGCAGATCAGAGATGCTGTCCCCCCCCCCAAAAAAAAAAAAACTGCCTGATCACCCAAAGGGAGGAGGAGAAGGAGGAGGAGAAGGCGGAGGGAGAGGCGGAGGAGGAGGAGGAGGAGGAGTAGGAGGAGGAGGAGGAGGAGGAGGAGGAGGAGGAGGAGGAGGAGGAGGAGGAGGAGGAGGAGGAGGAGGAGGAGGAGGAGGAGGAGGAGGAGTGGGGGGGAGGAGGAGGAGGAGGAGGAGGAGGAGGAGGAGGAGGAGGAGGAGGGAGGAGGAGCGTTGTGCGTGGCAGTTCCCTCGCAGGGGGTCGGAGCGCGCAGGGGGGGTCGGCTCGTGGCAGGGAAGACTCGGGAGGGAAAACAACACACAGACACAATGAATCGTCGATCCCCAGGAAAACGAAGGATTGCAACAAAAACCAAGGATTGCAACAAAAACCCTTCGAAGGTTTTTGTTGCAATCCTTCGAAGGATTGCAATCCTTCGGTTTTTGTTGCAATCCTTCGGTTTTTGTTGCAATCCTTCGGTTTTTGTTGCAATCCGTTGTTGCAATCCTTCGGTTTTTGTTGGTTTTTGTTGCAATCCTTCGGTTTTTGTTGCAATCCTGGGAACACGTGGGAAATATGGAGGGGAAGACACACAAAAGCCCAGAAAGTATGGGAAAGTACGGGGAATCTCGTTATCTGTGTGCATTTATTTGTGTGTCCTTGGGCCTCTTGAAAGATGCCCACCGGGCGCCCACACCCTGGAGCGAGCCTGCACTGCACCTGTGCAGCGGGTGGGTGGCCTGCACGTCGGGCCGCGCACGGCGAGAGGGCCTGCGGCCGTGGCCCATGCTCGGGAAGAGTGAAGAGCGGCCCGCCACCCGTGTGGGTGCCGAAGGGCTGTCGGACGGCTCTGCACGACGCTGAGGCTAGAGCCACAGGTGGGACACGAGCCGCCCTCCACCGTTTTGTGGCTGCTGGAAGCGTGTGAGTCCAGTGTGCGCGGCGCTGGGGCGAATGCCACGTTTGAAGAACGGCTCGCCGCCCATGCCTGTGGTTTCCGAGATTGTGGCTTCTGAAAATTCGTAAGTCACACGTGCGCGGCGCTAAGGCGTTAGCGACATGTTGCAAACCGCTCGCCCTCCATGCGTCTTTACGTTCGGAATTCACAGATTCAGCAGCATAAGATGAAGTGCCTGACCCCTTCTACCCACTTGTTTCGGCGGACGAAGAGGAGGATAATTCATCAGGGCGCGGGACGAAGGAGGAGGGGGGAGGGGAGGGTTGGGAGGAGGAGGAGGAGGAGGAGAGGGAGGAGGACAAGAAGGAGAGGAAAGAGGATGAGGGGAGGATAAAGGAGGAGGGGGTATTTCGCAGGTCAAGCACGCGGAGACCGGCCATGCAAGGCTGAGGATCCGGTGTCTCCTCCCCCTCCTACGTTTCGTTGCTCCTCCCTCCTTGGGGTCGGGCGCGCCAGACCTCGTCCGCGCCGCGACGGCCAGAAAACTGGTGCGCCGCCTTCCGCCGCAGCATTTTCCAAAAGTTTTGCCTGCAGTAGTCTACGTCTGCCGTCGCACTCGGCGACCGAGGAAAAGAAGACGCCAGGGGATGTTCACATGCCCGATGTTTGGAGGAGGCCCGAGCGATCTTGGGACACGTGAAGGCAGACGCTGTACCACGCATCGTCCCCAGGGGGCGGAGCTACTCCAGAAGTGTCCTGGCTGGGATGGTGCGAGGTCGGATCTGGGATGAATCGTAGTGCAAAGTAAATATGGAAGTCACTACGCGGAGGGATGAGGAGTCGGAGGGATGAGGAGTGAAGTCCGGCCTCGGCCTGGCGGTCGAGTCTAACGTATTGTCTAAATGGTCCAGGCTACGCGAGTGCAGGACGGCCACGGTGGCGGCCACGAGTGCCCACAGGGCGAAACCCCGCAAATCCCACCCGGCGCGCGGGACGGCCACGAAGGCGGCTGCTGCTGAGAAATTAAAGCAGTTGGGAAAAACCCACCTAACTGTTTGTTGAAAGTGCTAACCCGTGCAAGTGCTGTTTGGGGAACCTTAGGTTTTGCCTCTTCGGCCGCCACCCAGGGCTTCCAAGACGGCCTCGGAGACCCCCCGTAGCCATTTTGGAACGAGCGTTTTTCTCAAGCGGTCGAGGTTGACACGGAGGTCTCGACACACGTTCGCAGCATTCGAACGTATTTTCGACAAGTGGTGAGGCGTTATCGCTATATCTGCGATGTCATATTTTGGTTCTGCATTCTCATTCGCGTTGGTTCATTACCTATTCGCCCAGGTGTATGCAACGCAATCAGAAGTATATACTTTTGAGTCCTATGCAGATGCGGAGTGCTCGGATAGCGCCTTGACGAAGACCGACTACCTTACAGAAGTAACAGGTTCTGCTGGTTGTTACGTCTACACGGACGTCAACGGCGACGTGACCACCAGTGTTTCGAGCTTCAGTTTGACGTGCAGCGATGATTCAAACGACTACACAGAGTACGAGAGTGAGAGTTGCACGGGCCCTGCAGTTTCCACTGGGACGAAGCCTTGGTTCACTACGCTCATGTGCGCGTCGCTCCGAGCCCGTAATTTACGTTCCACAGTTTTTACTGCCCACTTGTCTTCATCATGCACGAAGTCGTATCTCCCGACGCGGTGATTGCCAAAATGTTGGAGATTCGTTCCCAAAATTCGGCCAGGGGTCGGTTCAATGCAGAGTGCCAATGTGTGAGCTTCGCACTGAGTAGCTTTGTGAGGCTGAACTTTTGCCATAAATGCAATCGACCTCGCTGTAGCATTGTCGTGATTTAGCGGAGGTCGCGCGCAGAAAAAAGACGGCCCAGGAGACCCCCGAAAGAGCCCCAGGACGTTCCCTCCTTTGGAGTCGTATGGAGGCATGCTGGAACCTCGGATTCCCAACTATGGTTTGAAGGCCTCGGGAACAATCACGCAACAATCCCCGGCTGCACCCAGAAACGGCCATAATCCAGGCCCTCTGGCTCTTCATATATGTTACACGATCATACGCCAAGAAATCGGAGGGACCTGCGGACATTCCATTCAGCGCCTCGCGATACGGTTGCGGGCACTGCAGTTCTCCGCAAATTGTGGGAGTTGCGCGGACCGTGAATTGCCCTCTGGAACTGGTCACAGCCCCTGGAAAGTGTACACTGTATTTGTTCACGAGGTCCAGGAGCAAACCTCTCCTCGTCGTCCTCGTCATTTCATAATATCCCCCCTGATCGTGCGCTTCTTCTCCCAGTCTGCTGCCCTGCAATACATATCCGCCACTGCGCTGTGGGGTGTTGCTTGGGAGGGCTGGGGGGGGCCGCGGAGGGTTGCTGGGGCGGGGGGGGGGGGGTAGCGGGCAGGAGCGAGAGAAGGAGGCGAGGGGAACACGCGAGGAGAGTTGAGAGCGGGGGAGAAAGGTTCGGGGGGAGAAGGGAAGGCAGAGGAGGGGTGGCGCGCGCACGTGCTCGGAGAACCCACCGCGGGCAGGCCCCGGTGCAGGTTCTCCCACCGTCGTGGGCGGCAGACCGGCGGTCTCAATGGCTCCCGAGAGGAGACGGAAGAGGAGAGAAGAGGAGAGAAGAAGGGGAGGGAGGAGAGTGGGTGGAGGAGGCAGCATGGGAGGGCCAGCGCCTGTATTCGGCACGGGCCGGCGCCTGCCTGGATGCCGAGCGGTGCCTCTTGGAGCCGTACGCCCCCCGCGCGAGGGCCAGCTCGTGGACCGCAGCACGGCCTCGGTGGTCGGGCAGCGGGCCTCCAGGCGCTGCTCCTGGCTCGGCGTGGCGGCCCGCTCGCTCGTCGCTGCTGCCCGGCCCCGCGCGCCCGCGCGAGCCGCTCGGGGAGGCCGTCGTCCTCCCTCTGCGAGGGAGCCCTGCGGCAGGCACGGCCCGCGGGCGCCGCAGGCCGCGGCGGCCCCTCCGCGAGGCGTCCGGCGACGGGCGGGTTCGGGGCGGACGCGGTGCGCGCGCCGGCCTCGGGCGCCCTCGATGCCAATTCCAAGGCGCCCGAGTCCTGAGATGCACTGGCGCGAGAACCTCCAACGCACTGTCATGCCACTGGTCCACTGGGCCCGCGCAGCCGCGACCGCGTCGGAAAACCAGCCGGCCCCCTTGCGGAGCCACGCGGCCGTCGTGGGGGCCGTGGCGCAGCAAGCTCAAGCAGTGGCGAAGCGTCCTGGCTCCCATAGAATTAGGCGCAGCAGGGAATGTTCTGAGACCCTTTCCTGGTGTGCCCAAAATGTTATTATTAGAACACTTCTGGCTGGGACTGTCTTGTTTCAACACATCGGGCTCATGTTCTAAGAACATTGTTTTTGTTCTCAGAATCAGAATTTGTGTTCGGTCCCTGAGAAGATTTCGTGGTAGCCCTATAGGAATGCCAGGACGGTCGGTCCCTGCTCAGTTGGCAGCTGCGCGGTGCGAGGTCGTGGCTGGCCTGCGCGCCGCGCCGCGCGGCCAGCGCTGCCCGCCGGGCCAGCGAGGCAGCAAGGCAGCACGGGGATGCTTCCACGGGGTGGCCAGTCGAGGCAGCGGGCTACGTGCGCAGGCGGAGGCTGGCGCGCTAGGCGCGAGCGAGCGGGGGAGGGGGTGGGAACAGGGGGAAGGAGGGAGCAGGTTGTTTGTCAGTGCTAGCGAAAAGCCTCCCAGCGCACCCATCCACCCTGTGAAGTTTTTTCCGAACGAGCCTGAAATTCCTTTCGAGCCACCTGAGGCGGCTCTCGCAGGAGGGAGGGAAGAGGAGGAGGTGAGGAGGAGGAGGAGGAGGAGAGAGAAGGAAGGAGAAGGGGGAACGGGAGGGGAGGAGGGAGTAGGGAGGAGGAGCAGGAGGAGGAGGAGGAGGGAGGGAGAGGAGAAGGAGGGAAGGAGGGAGGGAGGACATCCAACATGCCGTCCTCGACGTAGTTTTGGCTTGCCCGGGTGGGTGGGTGGACTGCGACGTGAGCATTGCCGAAGCCTTGGCGCCTCCTGGCCCTGACAGCCTGACAGCCGCAGGAGAGCCGCGACGGCCAGCGCCGCGACGCTGCGGGAAGAACACGTTCGCTACCCAGGCCCTGGGCTCTGCGCCGCCGCCATCGAAGCTGGTGGCCGCATGGGCGCGGAGCTGCAGGCGTTCCTGCGTGTCCACGCGCCAGGTGCGGACTGCGCGGGAGCGCTGGCCGACGTGCGCCAGCGTGTCGTCGTGGCGGTGGCATGCGGCACCGCAGCCATGCTGATGAGCGCCACCGGGCCGCAGCCCCAGCCGTGGCGATCGCCTGCCCTAGCGGCCAGCCGCGGCCGCTGAAGGCGCTGCTCTCACCTCCTCCTCCATCCTCCTCCATCCTCCTCCTCGTCCTTCTCCTCCTCCTCCTCCTCCTGCTCTTCCTCTTCCTCCTGCTCTTCCTCCTGCTCCTCCTCCTGCTCCTTCTCCTCCTTCTCGTCGTCCTCTTCCTCCTCCCACTACTACTACTACTACTACTACTACTACCACCACCACCACCACCACCACCACCACCACCACCACCACCACCACCACCACCACTACTACTACTACTACTACTACTACTACTACTACTACATACTACTACTATTCTACTACTCCGACTACTACTACCACTACTACTACTAAATACTACTACTAACTACCACTACTACGACTACTACTACTACTACTCTCCTAACTACTTACTACTACTACGAACTACTACTACTACTTTTATACTACTATTAATACTCTACTATTACTACTAGTACTACTACTACTACTAACTCTCTACTACTACTACTACTACTACTACTACTACTACTACTACTACTACTACTACACGACTACTATCACTGCGGGACTACTGACGGTAAACTAACTACTACTAAACTATTACTACTACTACTACTACTCTACTACTACTACTACTACTACTACTTACTTCTACTGCTACTACTAGGTATTATTCTACTACTACTACACGATTACTACTACTACTTACTACTACACTACTACTACTACTAATATTACTACTACTACACTACTAGACACTACTACTACTACTGCCATTACTACTACTACTACTACTACTACTACTACTACCACTAACACTACTCTACTGCTTCTTCTTCTTCTTCTTCTACTACGACTACTACTACGCCTACGACTAACGACGACGACTATTACTATTTCCGATTGACTCTACTACGACTAACTACTACTACTACTACTACGACCTACGACTACTACTACTACTATTACTACTACTACGACTACTACTACTACTACTACTACTACTACTACTAGTGCTACGACTACTGCTACTACTACAAATACTAGTAGAACTACTACTACGACTACTATTACGACTACTACTTCTATTACTACTACCTACCTACCTACCTACCTACCTACCTACCACCTACAACTTACTACGACTACTAACTACTAACTACTACTACTACTACTACTACTACTACTACTACTACTACTACTACTACTATATACTACTACTACTAAAAAACTACTACTACTACTACTACTACTACTACTACTAGACTACTACTACTACTACTACTACTACTACTACTAACTACTACGACTTCTACTACTACTACTACTACTACTTATTACTACTACTACTACTGCACGAGTATAACTACTACTACGAACTACGACTACTACTACTACTACACTGACTACTACTAACTACTACGACTACGACTACGACTACTGGCTACTACTACTACTACTTACTACTATACGACTACTACTACTACGACTGACGACTAACGATACGACTACTACTACTACTACTACACTACTACTACTACTATTACTACTACTACTACTACTACTTACGTACGACTACTTACTACTACTACTTACTACTCTAATACTACTTACTACTTACTACTACTAACTACTACCACTACTACTGCTACTACTCACTAACACCTACTCTACTACTACTACTTCTACTACTACTACTACTACGACTACGACTACTACTACTACTACTACTACTACTACTACTACTACGACTACTACGACTACGACTACAACTACTACTACGCGTACTACTACTACTACTACTACTACTACTACTACTGCTACTACTACTACTACTACTACTATTCCTACTGCTACTACTACTACTACTACTACTACTACTACTACGATTTCGACTACGACTACGGCTACGACTACGACTATTACCATTACGGCTACTACGAATACTATCTTTACGACTACTATTACTATTACCACCACCACTACTCTGACTACTACTAGTACACTTCTATTGCTACTACTAGTTAATATTCTTCTTTTACTACGACTACGCCTGCTACTACTACGACTACTATTACTACGACTACTAGTACTTTTACTACTACTACGACTGCCACTACTACGGCAAATAATATTACCACTACTACTACGACGACTACCACTACTACTATTACGACTACTACTACTACTGCGTCTATCACTGCAACTACTACTACTACTACTACTACGACCACTACTACTACCACTACTACGGCTACGACTACTACGTCTACTACTACTACTACTATTACTACTACTACTACGACTACTACTACTACTACCACTACTACTGCCACTACGACGACTATACTACTACTACTACTACTACTACTACTACTACTACTACTACTACTACTA